CATATATGGAGTCTATTAATTACTAAATTTATTGCCATAAGTATTTCCAGTTTTAGGAGGTTTGAGTAGAGAGCTGTGTCAGTATGCAGACTGCAAGGAACAAGTATAGGTTAACTCCATGCTGAAAAATAGAAAGAAAAAAACAAGGCCTCAACCATAGAGCTTGCTCCAGGTGTTCTACTACCAAGACAATTTGTTTATCTTTCCACTTTTCAGCACTGTATTAACCCTTAGTTGTTCCATCTCTGGTCTTTGTTCCTTTCATTGGTAAATTAAATCATTATAAATAATGATGTTTTTTTATGACATATCCATCTCCTAGAATGGTTTAGGGCTTCCTTGCATACAGTACATGTAGAATCTGCAACAAATGTCATTTATTTCACATAGAATTTACAGAAAACTAAATTAGGATAGCCTGTTGACAACAAACAAAAATAACAATTTTATCATGCTTTACATTCATTCTGCCTCACAATACAGAAGTCACAATATTTCTCTAAATTATGTTAATCACAATAATAATAATAATAATAATAATAATAATAATAATAATAATAATCAGAAACCATACATCCAAGTGTGAAACTTAACATAGTAAATGTATATTCACAGACTAATACTGCAGAAAGTCCATCCCAATTTTCCTGTAAATATTGCCTGAAATGTAAAAGATGAAGACAGATCCATACCTCCTCAATAAACAAATGTTCATGTTAACTATTTTGAAAAATACCCTTTTTCAATATGAATGATGCATTTAAGTACAACTACAGTACACCAATGAAAAACAATGGAAGCCATGTTGCTACAGAGCTAAAAGACAGCAGAGTAAACAGATGTTATTATACTGTCTGTAAGTCAAGGGACCTAGCAACTCCTCAGTCATCTACCTCAATGAGAACCTCAGCTGCTGACTTCTACCAGTGAGTAAATTATCGCTTGTTGATGTTGAACAGCTCTGCTTTATTTTCGTTTTCATTTTATATTTTTTCCTTTGCACTGCATACATTACTTCAGGTCACATAACTCTAATTATTGCCTTTAATGAAAGGGAAATTCATTTTTGTTTAATGACATTTCTTTTAAATGACTTTCAAGGAACCCAATTCTTTCATGAAACAAGGAGTACACAAGGTGATCTTAGTGCTTTAGAAGTACACAGAGGGCTGAATTCACAAGGGAAAGAGATCTTTGCAGCAACATTGTGCAAACTGTCATTGAAATATTACTTTTTTCTTTCATCTGAAATTTCCCATTCTTTCTTAGCTGCTGTGCACCTTTGCGTATTCTGTGTGATTCTGCTTTTCCTCTAGAGAATGATTCGTGTTCTACATCTCCACTGAGCAGTTTATGAAATAACCAACTAAATATGAACCGCAAAAACAATCTGGTTTTAAACCATTGGGCATAAACCTACAGCAAAATACTTCTTGTCCTGTTTTAGGTGTGTGTATTTTGCCTCTGGCCAGGATTCAATCCTCTATCTCCCAGGCACCTCCCAGTACCCAAGCCATACTCCTTGTTTTAAAATGCTATTGGGAGTGGCAACACCATAACTTCTACTGTGAAATTAAGAATTACCATCAGCTGATTCTCAGTTTTCTTAAACTCTGACATGATATAAAAATGACAACAAAAAATGAACCCATCTTGGGTTTCTACATATAACAAAAATGTAAAGCTTGCTATTTCAGAGATCAAAACCTTTTTCAGATATTACAGAAAACAAATCTAGATTTGTTTGATTTATGTAGATTCAGCTTAGTAATTAAAACATGTATTGTAGACTTGAAAATGATCATGGTTTCATATTCACCATGACAGACGTACTGTGAAAATTAGACGTGGTTAATGGGTGTACTCCACATGAGCACAAATTAGTCTGTTTTAGTACAAAAAAGCCAAACGTCCAGTATCAAACTGAAGGTAAGCGGTCGTGCGGAAGACCAACAACAAGCAAAACTGCTTTACTCCTGCTTCCACATGCATCCTGTCTCCCTGTTTTTGTCTATCTTGTGTAGTCTTTGTGTTTTCAAGTCATCATAATTCACTTTAGAAATAAGAGTAGAAATAAGAAATTTTCCCATTTGAGAAGCTTTGATTTTTACAGACTAAAATTATGCTCTTAGGGTTTTTGTGTCATGGGATGGACAGACTTTTTGTAATAATTACTTAACGTTTCAAAGATAAGCACATTGCTGTAAGGGGTAGTGGACTATTAGGTGGCACTCTTCTATCTGGATCAGAATTTCCTAACCATTTCCCCAGAGGACAATGTGCTTTAGGGGGGCATCATCTTTTGGATAGGATGTTAAAAGGGAACTGTGATGCTATTTTTATATTTCGGGGTGAGAAGAATTGGCATTAGTGCATTTCAAACCACAATGAAAGTAAAATGTACAAGGTATTGTGTAAAACCTCCAATTCATGTCACAAAACAGACGGAATTTCCAGGTGTGTGCAGCAACATATTCTTTGATTCACAATGAGATGACAAAACTTCCAGTGACGTCAAGCGGCCCCATTACTTCATAAACAAGCAGGTTTGTGCAATTATCCCTTTTAATCCAACAGAAATATTGCTCTCGACTGAGGTGGTTTTGCCGACAAATACTAGTTACCTGTTAAAACTGCTTGCTGATCACGTTGGAACATTTGTTCTGTGAAATGACTGCTGCACAACCTGTACTTATTCACTCGTACATCGCTTTAGTCATTACAACTACAGGGGACAGGAAAGGTCACTTCACATCGCAATTTGCTTAAACTCTCGCTCTCACCTGCGGCACGCCGAGTGTTTGTAACAAAATGGCGACCATACAGTACTTTCACAAAGTTCACAATTTCATGCTTAATTTGGAATCTGTAAAATGTTGCAATACCATTAATTAATTTGTTAACCATTAATTGTCTTAGTAAATTTTGCTACGGAGATTTAATACCTGGTCTAAGAAATTGGGGCTGCATTTCCCCTTTAAATCCAGGTCCTAGCTACCTTATTGTTAAAGACTCCTCTGTAGTGCTTGTAACACTGTGTGTTAACCCGAGTGGTGTAAACACTAGCTCACTGCCTAAATTCCACTCTGGGCTTGCACAATCTGACAAATAAATTGGTCATGTGATAATAATAATTGCTTACACTTATAAAGCGCTTTTCTGGACACTCCACTCAAAGCACTTTACAGGTAATGGGGACTCCCCTCCACCACCACCAATGTGCAGCCCCACCTGGATGATGCGACAGCAGCCATAGTGCGCCAGAATGCTCACCACACATCAGCTATCAGTGGGAAGGAGAGCAGAGTAATGAAGCTAATTTATAGATGGAGATTATTAGAAAGCCATGATTGGTAAGGGCCAATGGGAAATTTGGCCAGGACACCAGGGTTATACCCCTACTCTTTTCAAGAAAAGCCCTGGGATTTTTAATGACCACAGAGAGTCAGGACCTCAGTTTTACATCTCATCTGAAGGACGGCGCCTGTTTACAGTACAGTGTCCCCGTCACTATACTGCGGCATTAGGACCCACATGGACTGCAGGGTGAGCGCCCCCTGCTGGCCCCACTAACACCTCTTCCAGCAACAACCTTAGTTTTTCCCAGGAGGTCTCCCATCCAGGTATTGACCAGGCTCACACCTGCTAAGCTTCAGTGGGTTGCCAGTTGTGAGTTGCAGAGTGATATGGCTGCTAGATATCTCTACCTTCACGTGTTATATTGTGTAGCTTCTGGTGTGTAACAGACACAATGTTTCACCCAAGTGTTTCCTTGACTTCCACAGTTGATAAAGTGGGTCTCCTCTGTAAAGGGCTTTTGGATGTTAAAAAGATAAATAGCCACTGTTTTATTGCTCAGTGAATGAGCATAAAACACTATAAATGGATGGCACCATCTTGCCTAATACCAGATCTAAAGAGTATTTGTGTAAAGGAAGTCCTAATTTTGGTACACTGCAAAAACAAAGCTGCACAGTTTTTGAAAACATTGATAAAGAATCACCAAAACTCTTGGTGCATACCAAGGAGACAGACACCTTCTGTCTGAAACTGCAGGTATATACCAGTTAGTGCATATTTATGACTGGGGTAATTTAACATGATTACCTCCAGGGATGTTAGCTGCAAGACTGACTGAACAATTGAAAGCTATACTCAAGATATACAGTGTATATGGGTATAGCAGGAGTCAATTCTTACAAAACTGGTACTGTACTATTTCTGTAATTAGTGTGACTTCACATATCAACATGATTTATAGTGTTTTCTTTGATGTGATGTGATGGGAAATTCTCAGTCTGAAAGTTTTATTACCATATCAACTCTTATCATCATCAACAAAATGTCTTTTTTTTCTCTAAACAAGGCCTTAGGTTTAGACTTGGGATGGTTGAAATTTGACACTCTTTTAAGCCTTCATTTATAAAAGACCCAGGGTGTCTTGAACATTTTATGTGATCACACAATGTATAATATACAAGAGCAAAACTAAAATCAAGTTATGAAGCACAATTGTGTAACTAGTAATTTAAAAAGTTTTAAATTATCTATATTTACTTAACACTGGAAAATACTGTTTTCAAGCTAATACATACTATATATATTAAATACACATAAATCATTAAGTTTTCAAATACTCCAATCCAAAATTAATAAGTATATAGATAAAAGCTCTTAATGAACTTCTGTGATTTTATTTTTAAGTGGGGAAAAATATTTTTTAGGTCTGTCCCATGACTCTCTGCTGAATGTTTCATTTCCTTCATGTTATGGTAATACCTTTACATATATTAATGAAATTGCACATGCTATTAATATTTTAGCTGCTATTTCAATGAATCACAGCAATCCTGCTGTCTTGAGATTGATTTTATATGGATTTTGTAGTTATCATTCCTATATTGCTGTAGTATTAGTAATATTTTGTTTCATTGGATTAACTAGTGCACCTTGTGTTTGCTAAATTACTACAAAGAATCTACAAGATCCACAAGACTTACCACAAACTAGATGATATAACTGGTTTAGTGGAGATCTAGCAAGTGTCTGACTGTAGACGAGTGTAGTCTTCGGATTACCTAGGGATGGAACAAGGGCAAGAGAATTACTAAGCCTTGTTTCTACACTACTACTGATTTTCTTCACTTCACCGATGCACAATTTCTCTTAGTAGTACACAATGTAATTTGCTTTTAGACATTACTTGTTTTTGTTCATCTTTTAATTGACAAAGCACTTAAAATGAGTACATTTAAACATTAAACATACTCTGAACTGTACTAAATAATTAGAAAAAAAATGTTTTTTTTAGTAATATCAGGGAATATATTTCCATGTGTAAAATGTTTTGTTTTTTTTTGCTTGAGCAGGGATTACAATTAAGCAAGGAAATGGTTAAAAGTATTATAGAAACATTTTAAAAAATGTAAGCAAAATGTGCTTGAAGGGCCTTCCAGCTACTACTGCCACCATGTTTCTGTGTCTAGCCAGAAATAACTATCCATAATTTATTACTCTATGTCTAGTCCGCAGACACAAGTCAACCTAGCATTTATTATTCATTGAATACAACTCACATGATGAATTCTAAAACAAATTATTTTTCTACCCTTTTTTAGTTTTCTTTCCAATTTTTGATGTGGGAAAATCTTATCCATAAACTGTCTGTTTACTAATACAGAGTATCGCTTAGAGGGAACAAAGACATTGTCCTGAGTTCTGTCTGCAATTTGGTACCACAACAGGAAGCCTGCAGGGTTTAAAAGGATTAATACATCATACCGTCTGCCAGAACACTGCAATACTTTCAATTTAGATACCACAGGTTTTTTAAATATAAATGTTATTATTAATAATTTCTGTTTAAAATAAAGATACATCCTTTTCTTACTGTATGCTGACATATAATTAATCACTGTGAGCAATAACTGTTTTGCACACAGCTAAAAAAGCATAAAACTATAAAGTATGCGACTTTCAAATTTCTTTCTGCTGTTGTGAATTGGCTAAATATTGCCAAGGTCTTTCATATTCTGAATGTTTTTTTCTATTGTGTATTGCTGTTATTGCACCAAGCTGGCATTTAAATGAATTTCCCATGAGAACAAAATGCAGATAAAGCAAATACGTACACTGAAAAGTAAAGTCATTTTTCATGTTTCCAGGCAGCAGTTGTGATCAGCTTTTAAAGGAGCTGGTTCAGAGTGAGAAAGTTATCACATGCACACATACAGGTAGGTACAACAACATTAACATGAAAATGAGCAAAACTAAAATAGAGATAATAAGACCGTGACAACATTTCTTTCCCAGAATGCAACAGACACAAATTCATCCTTTTCTTCAAGCCTAGCTTTGGGCATCATATCAGAAGAGCAATAATTATACAATTAGTTTTTAAGCCCAGTGAGGAAAACTGGGCAGCAAAGTGTCTATTATAAAGCAATTTTTCAATTACACCAGCTCCTATATATGCAATAAAGAAATTTTACATCACATAGCAAGAAAACAATTTAACAGGAGACAGATATGGATACTAAAATAAACATTACACACAAAAATAGTAAATGAAAATTAAAATGAATGCATAAAAGGTTACAAATCAATCCATTTAGCTTTAAAAAGAAGTGTGTATGGCAAAGAACAGCACAGTACATAATATGTACAGCATATTAGTTTGTGACTTAAAGTAATAAGAAAAGTTGCATATTAATTGCAATTAAAATCTTTTAGATTATAGTTTAAAATAAAATCTGAGTACTTTACTGAGTATTTTATATCTCCTGTAAAAAGTTCTCATTATCCCTTTTTCCAAACTCTGCAAGATATGTGAATACAACTGTGAGAAACAAGTAATACTTATCCTAACCACATACTTCTAGAATATTAAGGAAAGAAACTGTGACACAAATATTTTTAGTATAATTGGCATTAAGTTCCACAATTAAGATTACCCATTCTACCCTCCTACATATTTTTTTCTCACTCTTAGTAGTATATCAATGATATACAATTGTACATCGTAAAAATTAAACCTATTAACAGCATGTCTGAAACTAAGCCTGAAATGTGATCAAGCAGTGTAAATGACAATGTAACAGTAACATAGTTGTATATTTTTTTAGATAACAATACTAAATTGTAAATTGCAGTATATAATGGATACAATAAATAAGGGCACACACACAGGAATTCATAAAATTTGAAAAATGACCCAACTTCTTAAAAAAACAACAGCAGATTTAACCTGTTTCTGTAGTAACAGAGACAGAAAAGGCTGGGGATTTTCAGTCATCTTGCTCGTAAGATAGTTATGGACTTCTTCATAGAGAATGAGTGACAATCTCATTTATGTCCATTCTGAACTCTGCAGCAACTTTCAATTTTTCTCATATTGCTAAGCACAAAGCATGCCTTACCGAGCCAGTAGAGAAATATTTCAGCAGAGCTAGAGGCTCTTTCCTATGGGTATGTAAGCTAAAAAGAGCACAGGAACTTGGAGTGAATTTACTGATCTCTCTTGAAGCCTGGGAAAAAAGTCCTTGGGAGCATGCCTATAGCTGACAAGCATGTCTGTTCCCATCACCAAAGGGATGTATTACCTTATGTAACTCCCTGTGGCAGTTAATCTGTGGCCTGAAAGATATATTAAAAGGAGCACAGGAATTAAATTTTAAAGACAAATGTCTCCTTCAGTTTCCAAGAAAAAATGCTGGTTTCTGTATTTAGCTCCCTTTAAACGATCCATTGTATCCACTCTATTGTCAGTGGGTATACAGTACAACAAAGATGATACACTCACTTCTAAATTTGTCAGACTTGTGAGTTAGTGCAATTAGCAAGTTACCTTACCACTCTGAGAATGAAAAACATAATGTGAGACAATTTAAGAGTTATAAAACAAAGAAGTTAAGAGATAAGCAATTCTACTACTTAAGGTAAGAGTGGAAAATAGGCAGGCTCTGGAAGCAGAAGAATGGAGACAGGGGAAAAATGGAGAGGGGATCAGATGGAAGAGCAGAAACAGAGAGAGGGCATGGGGTTGTAAGGATGTAAGACACGAAAGTGTGGCAATAGCAGTTTGGCTGGTACAGCAAGGTACAATGGTGATAAATGTGTGTAGTTAAATGAGCCATAAGAGGTAACTGGAGTAAAGGACTAACAGGAAGAATGTGAGGAAAAGACAAGGCAACCCACAGAATTTGGGATGAGTGAGTGTATAGCCAGCCAAGAGGGAGTTTTTGTAGTCTATACTGGAGAATACCAAGGTCTAAGAGTTGTGTATTCCAATCCCTCTTCTTTTACTGCACACATTTATCACCCTTGTACCACTGTCTCATCCACTCTGCTATAACCCGTCTTTAGTATAGTTAATTACTTTAAAAGGGTCAGATTCTGCAATTTAGGAAAGAAGAGGGGTTAAGAGTCACCCTGAAGCTCTTGTCAAACAAGGAGGTGGATAGGGTGATGATGGAGTCAACAGGAAAAGAGATGAAGAAGGGGAAAAAGAAGCGAGAAAAAAAAAGGTCAGGCTTTGAGAGGCGGCATTTTAGCCGGAGGAAGTGCCTGCAGAAAGAAATGTCTGAGAGACAAGGCAGAGTAACAAGAAGGGGCATGAGTATCAAAAGGAGGAATGGAGAGGACGATTCAAACATCATCAGTGTGAACGCAATACAAGAAGGTATGGGAAGAGATGGAACAGTTGAGAGCAAACACATAAATGAACCTTGAGGGACACCATAATATAAAGCTGGAATTTTTCTTTTTAGATTTAATTGTTTAATGTTCTACTAGGCAAAACACTACCAAGGGTGCTACTGTTGATGGCCTCATCTGATTTGTAACTGTTCTTATGGTCTTTAAAATTAAAAAACAACTCAAAATCATGCTATATCTGCACATCACACACACAGCAATGCCAAAAGGTACAATGAAAGCAATTCATGTGCATTTTGCTTTATACTGTGTATGTCTTCTATTTTTAAATTAAAAACAGTTCTCTGCCTATCAAACATCTATCATTTTGGATTCCTCATTTTCACTATAACGGTATAGTGAACAAATTCTGCTTTTGTTATATTCTATCATGGGTACACAGTGTTATATCCAGCTAATACTGTATTCAAGTTCATATGTAAGTTATACATTACTAAACATGTAATGTGTGAAGGGAAAGTGAAGTGAATCAGTGAGGTATGGCAGTCATGACTATGTGTAACAGATGCAGAGTCCCTAGAGTTTAGCACTTCACATTGTATTAAACTTCACAGTTTACTTCTCCCCATAGAGTTTAATACTTTAATATTTGATGCTGAAATTGGGAAGAAAACTGGCTTATTGTAATACTGAAAACTATACCACAGAAATAAGTGTAAAGTCAGAGACTCAGATTTGCAAATGTGTGCATATTTCATGTTTTAGTATGTGATGTTCTGCTCAATGCATTGAAAAAGTGAATCACAAATTATTTTTTTGTCCTGTATCATAAAGATGGGACCAGAACTAAGCAGTAGATGAAACACAGTCCATATGCAAAGCTGTATCTTCTCTTGAGAAGGAAAGCTTACAAGTCTGTCAATGTTTGCTCTCTGGGTGTCTTTTCCTGGCTTCATTTCTCTTGAAAATGTGCAGCTTTTTGCTGTGTGGATCATCACCCATCCATTCTTCTCTGTGTTATCAATGTGCTACTGACATAATACAATAGTACTTTTCATATTGTGATCCTTTAACTTAAACTTAAAACATGCAATACTGCAACACGACCAATATTTAAATGGACTATATTATTGATTACTTCCATAAACCAGAAATCATATACATTTTGATAAAGTTTGCAAACACTTGCAAATCATATAGTCAAAAGTTCTTCTGCAAGATTTCTCTTTCATTCATACATTTTGAACCACTTCAAGGGTGAGATCAATTCAATGGCATGAATGGCCTAAGTCCCATTACACTTAAATCATTGGGATTTGTTGAAAGCATAAAGCAATAGTCAATAAATCAATGTCAAAATGTAAGGATCTAAACACATAATAAATGCTTTATAAGGTTTCCCAAGAACAGACAATTGAGTTCA